GCCCGAAGTGCCCCCCCACTGCTGTCCTCCTCTGGCAGCTGCCCCCAGACACCAGGAGAGACGGGGGTGCTGCCTGCTGGGCTCCTAGAGAGGCTGCCGCCTATCCCGCACGCTCTCCAATGTTATTTATGCTCACAGCCCGCGCTGATGACATATGTAAGTTGACAGCGAACATCCTATCAACTTGCTGGAGTGTATCTTGATTGTTAAAACACAGTCTTAAAGGTGTACGATCATTTATCAAATTAAAATAGTGGCGCCTTACCTGTCCCTTTTCTGCCTTCCCTGACCACTCCCCTGCGGCCTCTCTCCTCCCCTGGCCTCCTGGGCATCCCGGCCTGGCACCCCAGGCCCTGCTCCTGGGGGAGGGGGGACGGTGGGGGAGCACTGCCCCTGCTTCCAGGGACCCAGGGCTTGGCACCCCCTCCCCACCCCGCCCCAGGCCAAGGCAAGCCCACTAATCGCCAAGAAGTGACAAATGCCAGAAGCCCCACCAATTAAATCTAAACTCAAGCAAAGCTCAGTGGCCAGTAAATTATTATTTTTATTAGCTTGAACCAAGTTCCCGTAAGAGAGAAAGTCAACTTGCTCCCATGAATGGCTCTTGTATAATTTATTTAACTCTGTGCTCTTTGCCAAAGCCTGGAATATTTTTAGCTCGTTCTGTTGTTGGATTTGGCTTTTTTATGTGTGTTTCTGAGGGGTATTTTTAGCTCCCTCCAAGTTATTCTAACAGCCTCCTATGCGCTTTGTCCTGTCTGTGCGGGCTGTTGAACCCAGTCTCGCGGCAGAGGAGGCAGATTTCTAAGAATAAACGGGAGCGTTTGGGGGTGATGAGGGAGGGCAAGGCCGCTCCCTGCCTCACTGGCTAATTTGCCTGAGTGCTCACGTGACCTGGATATTTCTATAGGAATATCCTGGTAGGAATAATCAGACACGGGGCAGCACAAGCCCCACTGAGAAAAAACCCACATTCCAAAAATGGCTTCACCGGGCAGGCGAGGCGGCCGCAGCCGAGCCGGTCCCCAGGCCCTGGATTCCGGGCTCTGCAGGGCGGCTGCTGCTTTGATGTCTGCTTCTGTCACGTACAGCGCAGGATGGGTAGTCTTCGGAAAGTAACTCTTTTCACACCTACTTAATGTTGGTAACTGTTGCAGAAACACTCCATCCTGTCATTGAGTTAATGAGGTATTTACGAAAATGTATTTTTTCCCTTTACAAAAAGATATCATTTGAGGAGGGAGGGGGAACCTTTGATGGAGTCTTTTCACACCAGGAAATTATCTTTTTTCCTCTACTGCGTTTTTCTTTTCTTTTTCTTTTCTTTTTCCTCCCTTTTGAGATTGGCGATCAGAAGCGCTTTTGGTCCTCCCACCAGAGGGAAACTGCTGCCCTGTACTCCCAAGAACAGCAGGCCCAGGGCACCCGACTTCCAGGCAGGGCGTTTACACCCCAAAGAAGACGGGAGAAGGGGGGAGAGGAGAACCCACCCGCGGTCTGAGTGCCGAAGCCAAGCGTCCTCCGCCTCTCTTGGATGGAGGTGATTCTTGAAGGCTCGCCCTGGCGGGGGTGGGGGGGTACATATAGAGAGGGATGCACGAGGGGGCGGGGACCCGGCTCCTCCCGGCCTGGCTGCCTCCTTACTAAGGAGCTCGCTCGGAGGACAGGAGCCATCCCCAGTTGCTCCCGGCAGTAGTGCTGGTGAAAAATCTTGGGCTGGTGCGTTGTTGATTCCCCCCCTCCCCAGATTTCACAGCTTTGCCTCCAGACCATCTGTATTAGAGACAAAATCTAACACTGCACTAAAAATAATGATTCCAAACATTTTAATTGCACCTTTCGGTGACAAGGTTACTGGAGCAGCACTTCACCATAAAACCCTACAGCCCAGTGATAAAGCCACCAGCACTTTCATTTTAGAAAAACAATGGAAGGCAGCCTGGAGCCCAGCGTCCCATCAGGGTCCCTCAAGCTGACATTCTGAAAGTGCTGGGTGGGGACGAGGGAGGAGAGGAACAGGCGGCAGGCAGGGAGGGAGAACCTTGGCCCAGGCCAGGTGGCCATGCCGGGGACCAGCAATACTCAGACGCCAGAGACTCCATCGCGGGTGGCTGAATCCTGCTCCCCTGTGGGAGCCGGACAAATAGGAAGAAGCTCGGAGTAATTTTCCTTTCAGCAGGGCCGTCGGTTCAGGGAGGGGCGGGCTGGGTTGCTGCAGCCGTGGCCTGTGGACCCGAAGCCATCCGCGGAAATGGGAAGAAAGTCCGCCAAACTGGCCATTTGGAAATCCACACACAAGATGCAAAAAATTTTTTTAACTTAATTATACTTTTTTCTTTCTAAACCAGATCATATATAGATACAGACCAAAGCAAAGTGGTCTGGGGTATCATTCCTTTTAAAAAAAATTGATGTAGCTAAATTTTAAAAAGCAATACAAGATTCTGGCTTTCAGCAATTTCAAAAGGCTTTCAGCGGCAGATGTTTCGAACTGGATGCCCTCTAGGCCAGCCTTCTCATTGCAAATGGGCTGAACATCTCCAAACACAATAGGTCTCTCTGGTCTCCCAGGGGGGTGAAAACAGGCTCCAGGAGCAGGCGACACGTGGCCCTCCAGTCCCCTCTCTGAGGGTGCCCTGGGGACCTCCAGCGCCCTCTAGAGCACCCTGCATGTGGGGAGGAGGGGGGTAGGGTCTGGGTCAAGGACACAGACCCAACCAGCACCCACCCAATTTCTCCAAACCCTCTGTGGCCTACCATCCAAGAACCACGTGGTCAAAGCTGGAATGAGCAAGACAATGGTTCGGGCCCCCAAGGCCACGTTCCCACCTGACTCGGTGGTGCCTGCTTCTGGAAACAGCAGCAGAAAGGGGAAATGGCGGCTGACCAGGGCCTGGCCAGAGCTGTGGGCTGCTGAATGGGGATGGGGGGAGGCAGCAGTGACCTGAACTGATGGGGAATCCGGCCTGGCCAGCGGGGACGGCCCCAGCCTGTCTGTGTACTACTGGGAACCCCTTGCGTTGGCTAAGAGGCTAGAGGGCATGGCATGGGGGGTGGGGTAGGATGCAATGGCTCCCCCCTCCCCCCCCCGCAACCTGCAGGCTCGACCCCCCCACGCTCTGCAGGCAGCACCAGCCTGCAGCCGGAAGGGGCTGGTAGAGCAACTGTGCCACTGTCCCTGCTGCCACCACCTGCCCCAGATCGCAGCCCCCCAGTATGGGCCAAGCCGGGCAGGCAGCATCGCCACTGCAGGGGCAGGAGAGGCAGCCACAGGGACAGCCAGGACAGAGGTTTTAGAATCAGCGATTGCCCAGGCAAGTTCCTTTGCTCTTTTGGGTTATAAATCTGGAGGAGAGAAAGGAAGAGGGAGCGGATTAGAAGGAAGAGCAGAACAGGCTCCCGCGGAGCGGGAGGCGCGGCCACAGGGCTGATTCCGCGAGAGCGCCGAGCCCGGCCCCATCGCTGCCAGCTCGCCCTAACTTTTTGAATCTCCTCGCGTTGTGAATGCTAAAAGCCCATTCGTGACTAAGCAATTTCTTGTATTTTTTTCTTTTTAGGAAATTTAAGTTTTTCTCTCTGACTGCCCTTCCTTCTGACACCTTTCCTTCTAGCCTGACTCTGCCATCCGTTTCAATCCACGCACTAATTGTAATCCCATTAAAGCAGATATAATTTTATTAGTATTCACAGTTCATCAAGCTAGCAATAATAACTGTTACTGCCAAATTAACAACAACAACAAAAGTGGCAAACAACATCTCTGATGTTTAGAGCAAACTGTAAACAAAAAGCAAGCCAACCTTCCAGGGTGACCGGCGGGTCCCCACACGCGCAGCCCCTCCAGCTCCTGCAAGCTCAGTTGGCACTGCCCAGTGACCTCCAGGGTCTCCGCGAGGCAGCGGCCCCTTCGCCACCCTCTGCCTGGCCCGGCTTCTCCTCTGACCTTGCTCAACAGTAATATCGAAGCCACCCGAAAGG